CCCTTCCGGTCTCTCTCGTTGAAACCAACACGGAAGTGACTAAATCTGCAGTTCATGGACTAGCTGCTAGAGGCTGGCTCCAAGAGGGAGTCAGTCCCATAGACTCCCCATGTTAAAGTGCCCAACTTTACAGCAGAAAAAAATATGTTTGCAGCCTGGTACAAAAAGTGGTTTTGATCTATATAGCTAATTTCGCCCTTCATGACAACTGTGAAGGGGTGAAATTTTTTTATAACTCATCCGTTTAAATTATATTAAGCCTTAAAGTTCTGCATAATTAAGGGCGTGGCCACTTGAGTGACAGGTGGATTGCCGCTGCTGTCACCACCGACAAGCTAGGCGGGCATGGTTTCAGCAACCAGCTCAACCCACATCCCGCCTCTTTGCCCATTTTTTCGATTATCCAGGAGTGACGTGCTGCCAAGATGGCGACGGCCGGCTCCGCCCACTTTAGGCTTCAAAAATGCTCTTCAGAAACCTACGGGTGACGTCACGGACACTACATCAATGTTTTTATACAGTCTATGGCGTTGAGTCTGAGGAGGGGGGCGGGAGAAACAATATTTTGAATTTAGACTGCAGTACCAATTTCAACCACTAGCTGTCATTATTACATACTGCACCTTTAAAGGGAGCAGACTGTGCTTGTCGGAAGGAGGGACTTTGTAGAAAACGAAGCGTTTCAGAAAGGCGGGGCATAGAGGAGAAACAATAATGTACAGTATGTGGAAAATAATGTTTTTTTAACCTTAAACCGCATAAACATTTCATTACATCAAATACACAAAATAATGTTCTTTTTAGCAACATCATATGACCCCTTTAAGCTTCAGCAGAAAATAGAATTGCGCCAACTCTCACGAGAAATAAATCACACTGATACTCTCCATGTTCCCTGTGATTGGCTGTTTGCTGCACGTGGCACACTTTGAGGTGCACACGCTCCAGAGTTAATCACAAACTTTACAGTTGACAGTACGTTTATATCGAGCTTTGTGAGCCCACTGAACCTGGGGCCTGTACCATGAAGCCAAATTAGCTGGCTAGCCAGGTAAGTTTAAGTTTAGTTTGCACCAATCCCGGGTTTTCAGTACCATGAAAGTGGCTTGGCTTTTAGTGGCGTTCATTGCCATAGTAACTTACACTGCACAGCTAACCTGCTCCAGGGCAGGTTATGTTCTGGGTAAGAGATCTCAAACTGAAATTGGACCAATCAGATGTGAGCAAAGTGACATGTCTGACGCAAAAAAAAAAAAAGTCACTCCCCCAGTTTCTCTTCCTACAAATTAAAGGTCACTATAAAGTACCTTAAAAATACAACAAAATTGTCTGGCTTTAATGATAATTACGATTTATATATGATTTATAAAATTATAATATGATTTATATTACTATTAATCCATCACACACAAGCACTTTTAGTTTAACAAGTATTATAAAGCATTTATTTTAAATGAATAATATATACAGATCATATGTAATATACATAAGTGGAAGAATCAATAGATAACGCTTTAAAAACGTAAAAATCGCTATATATAACTTCACAAGTTTCACTTGTGACTGCACTAATAGAGCAAGATAATTTATTTTATTTGTCCTCTTTCATGGACAAGTACTTCAGTGTAAATGCATTTATATTCCTCATATTCTTTGATCTCTTAACCATTAAGTTTTGTCAACTCAAAACTAATCCTGTAACTCTGAATTTGTTCATCTACCATCATGGTACAGGCCCCTGATCTAAACCAGGTTGGATTTGTTAGGTTTTGTCAACTCTAAATCTAGCTTCATGCAACAGGCCACTGGTCGACCGGCTATAAATCGGAACCGGTTTGTAGTTTTATTTTGGCCGATCTCTATTCTAGAATTGCACACAAACTGCATTGCAATCATTTCCCAAAATGTAATATTAAAGTAGTGTTTATAAGTGCAGCTGCTTTGTTTACAGCGGCAACGAAGGAAACTCGGTATCACTGCTATTCCATAAGAGCCACCTGCTCTCAGATAGTGAATTTGCATTTTCATTCTGTCCTGAACCGTGACTTCTGTGTACCAATACACCCCTAGTGTGTATATATGCATATTTTGCAATAAACCTAACATATATCGCTTTATACACATAATCAATCAACATCTTTAAATCAAGTTGTTGTTTTTTTCCACTCTCTGTTTTTATTTTATTGTGCCATTTGCAATGCTTCATGGGATTGCAGTTCTTTCCCTCATTTAAACAATTAACAGTCTTGGGTTTTGTCCATTTTTCCATGCACGTTTTTGCTTCAAATCAAAGTTTATAATGTTGTGATTCAAGTCGTAGCTGTTTGCTTTGGTTCATAGCTTATCATTCTTTCTTGAAGACTTTTGCTTTTACTTCTGAACCAGCCTGCTGAAAAAGTGGGTGAGCACTATTGCACTCTACTTGCATTGAACAGAGAATCTGATGGCTCATTGGAGATTCAGTCACTGTGTTTTTGTCCCACCTTTAAGCCCAACTTGATGATTCATTGGGCGATCTCTCAATTGGGAAGGACCTTTCAACAAACTACCAAACAGTGGTTGACATATATGACTGGCAGCGATGTAGTACCCACAGATAGACATACCAGTAATACAATCCTGTTCAGTTTTGCACCAGCTCTGCAGCCGACACTCCAGTCACGTCACATTTATTTATATAGCAATTTATAAAACAGATTGATTTAAAGCACGCAGCTTTACAGTATTAAAAAAACAACAAAAAAAAACAGTCTCACAGTGTCAGTCTCCCTTTCAGTTAGAATTACAACTTGATTTTCTGCTATAAAGCAGCTGTCCAGTGTGGAGCTAGCTAATGATAGAATATTTTGTATTAGTGAATGCAAAAATAAAAAAATAAATACAAATAAATGGTTTGCATAGATTATAGCTTGATCTAGCTCAGGACCGTTTAGATTACTATAACACTATAAGGCGTTTTAAGAGAGCTAATGTTGTGAATAAAATCATTTATCAAAAATAAAATAGGCCTAGCACTTTATTTTGTTCCATATAGGAGACGTTGGGCAGAATGATGCATCATTCAGTCAGTTAATTACTTCTTCATAAAGTTAATTAGGGGGTAGTCGTGGCCTAATGGTTAGAGAGTCGGACTTGTAACCCGTTGTAATAATCGTTAGATTAATCGATTATTAAAAAAATTATAATTTGTTGCAGCCCTACCGTTCAGTTTAGCCCTTTGTAAATATCAGAAAAAATACAGTTCACAGTGCTTTGACAATTAATTTTCAATTAAACCCACTGTTTGTACTGTGAGAAGCAGCTTTTAGGAACATTACTGCAGAAACACAAAAAAAATAAAAACTTTGTAGACATTTTGCCACTGATAAGTCTCATTTGTACTTCCTCATTCTTCAATGTAACAGCTGCTAATGTTAGCTGCTGATGATTAGCAGTGGCAGCTTGAGTGAATTAGTTGTATCAGCATGCATACTTAATATTGTCATAAACACTTGTTACCTGTAAATAATAGGTGCATTTATCCTGCAAATAATATAAGCTATCTAACTGGTAAAACCTGCCCTCTTATGGCTGGCCTGAACAGGAAAACATCAGTCTACATAACCTTGCAGCATCACTGGACTTTCGTAAATGCAGCAGCATATTTGTAATATATGTTAAGCTGTTCGGTTATTGCATGAAAGTACACTTATTGCAGCTGTAAAGCATATGGCAGGAACAGATGTTGTCATTTGACACTGGACAGATCGCCGGCTGAAGCATGTTCACAAAAGAGATATTACATAAAAATAAAAAAAGCAAACATCACACATAACTAGTAATACCTGTAAAAATGTTTGATTTGGTCTATATTGGTTGAGGTGAGAGAGGTACCCGTTCTTCCCCGGCGAAGCTCGGCTGATGAAACACATGCGGCGTTTCTGCACTGATATTTCTCCTCGTTGCTTCCCAGAAGTTGCTGCTGATTGGTCGAATGGAACGACGTTACCATTCATGGTCACGTGACTGTTCGTGAAGCGGCGCTGCGCAGACTGATAGGTGTTTGACATCGAAGTACCGCGAGAGCGATTCGAAAGCATACGGAGCCCTCTGCTCTCGCGGTACTTCGATGTCATACGTCGATCGGTCTGCGCAGCGCCGCTTCAAGTCGAACACACACCTGCGGAATGTTTTAAATCTACATGGGAAAAATAAAATAAAATAAAAATCGCTTTCTTTTTCTCAATGATTATGTTTCAATTCCTCATGCTGTTTCAGAATGGAACAGATTAGTGGAAATATTTTGTGGAAAAAGGTTTGGACTCTATATATTCCCAAGTATCTATTGGTAAATAAGGTTAAAGCGATTTTTCTTTTAAGCTTATTCATCAGTACTATCCTGTTAAAACCTTTATTGTGTCAAAATTCAAATTAAGTACATATGTGAACTGTTTTCTGTGACTCACAACCAGATAGATTTCTTTTAAGCTTATTCATCAGTACTATCCTGTTAAAACCTTTATTGTGTCAACATTCAAATTAAGTACATATGTGAACTGTTTTCTGTGACTCACAACCAGAAAAAAACAGTCTTTTTTGGCAATGTGTTCATACAAGAAAACTTTGGCAAGACATTTGCTAGTAAACTTCATACATAATGACTTTCTTTACTTTAAAGATGTTTTGTTTGGATTTTTCACTTTTGAGAAGCAATATGAAAAGGTTTACTTTCTTTGCAACCCATTTATTTTGCTTTATTTTTTATGCAAGATTATGCATTTTTTTCTCACTTTCAAGAAGATATTAAGCGCTACCTTATATTATATTGTCTACCTCATGTAACAAAAAGGCAACTATAACTATAACTTTTAATGTATGCTCACTTTTTGGTGTTTTTGTATAATTTTTATGTTTTGTAGGAAAGATTGTTATGTTTTCTGTTATGTGATCCGTTTAATTTTTCCCATTTATTTAGAATGTAATTGTTTTTGTTGTAGTTATTTTATTCTCTCTCTCTCTCTCTCTCTCTCTCACATTGTGTGTGGTGATGAAGTCTAATAGTCGAGCATTTATTATGCTACAGAATAACTTTCCCAGGTTGCTGCTCACACAGATGCCTCTGTAGTTGTTAGGATCAAATGTATCTCCGTTTTTAAAGATTGGTGTTATCAAGCCTTGATTCCAGATGTCAGGGAAGTAACCTACACTCAGAAGCACATTGAATAGTTTTAGAATGGCCAATTGGAATTTACTGCTTGTGTGTCCCCCCCCCACTACCAAAGCACTTCATACACGATCAACTCGCTCTTCCATAAGACTATAAAAGGTCATCACACAACGAGCATTCTTTGTCACTCATAAAACAATGACTTAAAACACTAACAACAGGTAGCATTAAACTATGTTTCCTTTTGTAAAATTTCTTCACAAAACAAGAATGGCACTCTTTACTGTTAGAATTCACTGCAATATTTGTGACCCTGGACCACAAAACCAGTCATAAGGGTCAATTTTACGAAATTGAGATTTATACATCATCTGAAAGCTGAATAAAGAAGCTTTCCATTGATGTATGGTTTGTTAGGTATATGACAATATTTGGCCAAGATACAACTATTTGATAATCTGGAATCTGAGGGTGCAAAAAAAAAAATCAAAATATTGAGAAAATCGCCTTTAAAGTTGTCCAAATGAAGCATAAATGAAAAATCGATAATTTTGACCCATACATTGTATTTTTGGCTATTTCTACAAATATACCCCAGCGACTTAAGACTGCTTTTGTGCTCCAGGGTCACATGGGCCATGTTTACATCACAGAACAAAATTATTCCTAAATTGTCCCCTTTTGTATAGACAGTAATAAAATCGAAAAACTAACACATGTGTAGGTGTTCAGCTACATCTAATTGTTTTGTAATGTTTTGGAATATATTTAAATATAGCTGTAGAAATGTTATTCCATTTTGTATAATGGTAGTTTTTGAACTTAAGTTTTGAAAAGAGTATTTAAATGTTTAAATTGGCCTGTAAGTACAGGTTTTGGTTGTGTTTGAGTGAGAAAAGCATTTATGTCATTTGAAAGATGTAGTCATTGAATGTATTCTAGACCAAAACAATGTTGCATTTCACACCGTGTGAAGGTTTGAAAAACCGACTCAAGTATTGAGAAACTGGACCTAGTGGTTCACTGGTAAAACAGACTATTTGCTTACACATGGAAAAAGTATTCGGTGTGAGCATGTGGAGTTAGATAAAATATTTCTTTTAACCAATATAATATGAAAGAATGCTTAACTATTCTTAAGTGATTTCTTTTATCGTCCTGTTTGTAATTTTTGATAGTTCTCATTACGATTGTACAACAGGTGTACACCAACTCTTCCATCAGACTCTTCAGCTGACCAATAACAACCTTTGATCAGTAATGAAATGTAGTCACTTTATGATAGGCTACATTTGTAAATTTATTACAAATAGACAAATTATCACAATTATCTAACAATTAGCATAACACAACAGTCCATGGACATTTAAGTATAAAAGTAAATGGTCCATGACAATATTTGTTGTGGCTATTGTTTGGCTGAGTGCGGCACTGAATGCTACATAATAACCCAGAGTCGATTACACCGGTTACATCAATTCATTACATATTCATTGTCAACATGTGCCAGACACCAAATTTGAGACCTTAATAAGAAAGATCAGTGATAAATAGCAATAGTGAAAGTAGTGCAAAAAGATCTCAAGCACTGGAAGAAAAGACTGAGGGCAAAAACAATTATAAAGCTGTAAAACTATATACAAGTTGGAGTAAAAATCATATAAACGTTTCAACTGATGTTCTGACCTTTTTCGAGCATGCTTTCCCATTCATAAGAAACATTGTCAGGCTTCCTGGAGAGGCACTTCAGGAAAAAAAAACAAGTTATTTAAAACCAAAGCTTCTGTTGATTATAAAACTAGCTGCCATTAGACTGCCTACTAAAACAACAGTTGGCTTTGATCAGGATTCCTTACATAAGCTGCAGATAAAGTGACTGTGAAATGTTTGTGTTAGCAATCCCAGGTGTTTGCATTTGAAAGCAGGCAGCACTGCTGATGTTGGAGAACCCTGGTCTTGGTTGGTACTTCATGAAGTCAATAGGATAGTCTCTCTTTCACTGCTCAGACTGAGGTTTAAAGTAATCTTCTGTCCTAAATACACTGGGAAGCTCTTGATGTCTTTGTGATTGCCTTCGTGGGCTAGCAGGTTTCTGAAGACAAAGAAGAGGAAGTCAACATTTGTTACCAGTTTTAAGGTATGCCAAATAATATGGCAGACACGTCTGTACAACCCCAACTCCAGAAAAGTTGGGACGTTTTGTAAAATGCAATAAAATCTGTGATTTGTTAATTCTCTTTAACTTTTATTGAATTGATAAACGCACAAAGAAAAGATTTCCAAAGTTTTCACAGACCAACTTAAATGCATTTTGTAAACATAAGCGAATTTTGGCTGCAACATTCCAAAAAAGTTGGGGCAGAGGCCAATTTAAAGCGATAAGTGGTTATAGAATATCCCAATTAAACTGTTTTGAAACAGTTCACAGTAAGCAGGTGAATTGGAAATAGGTGAGGGGATCATTTTTGGCTATAAAAGGAACATCTCAATATTTGCAAGCAAAGCTGGATTATGGCTCATCACTCTGTGCCAAATTTCATGAGAAAAGTGTCAAAAGAAAATCATATTCAGATTCAGGGAATCCAGAGAAATCTCTTTCTGTGTAGGGCAAAGACAGGAAGCCTCAGGTGAATGTGTGTGACCTTTGAGCCCTCAGATGGCAATGCATAAGAAACCGTCATGCTGCGGTGTTAAATATAGCCACATGGGCTCGGGAGTACTTGAGAAAACCGCTGTCACTTAACACAGTCTGCTGCTGCATCAGTTAATGCAACCTGAATCTCTGTTACTCTAGGAGAAAGCAATAGGCTACATCAACTCTATACAGTGATGCCACAGGGCCTGAGCTTATCTCAGATAGTCAAAAAGACGTGCAAATGTGTGCTGTGGCCAGATGAGTCCACATTTCAACTTGTTTCTGGGGAAAAATGGACGAAGACAAAAGGGACCATCCAGATTTTTACCAGCGACAGATGACAAAGCAAACGTCTGTCATGGTAAGGGGCTGCAGCAGAGCAAATGGCTTGGGTGACTGGCATATGTGCGATGGTACCATTTAGGCATATATTGGGATTGTACAAAGACATATACTGTCATCAAGATGACGCCTTTCATGGGAAGTGCATGGTTATTAGATCAACACAATGCCAGGTCTCATTCTGCATGTGCTACAACAGTGTGGTTTTGTAGACACAGAGTGAATGTGCTAGACTGGCCTGCAGATCTGTCTCCTATTGAACATGTATGACCAGTCATGAAAAGGAGAACCAGAGAACAACGATCACAGACTGCTGAGCAGCTCAAGTCTCGTATTGGACAAAAATTTTGCTTGCAAAACTTTGACAATTAGTATCCTCAATTCCCAAACAATTAAACTTTAATTGTAATTAAAAGGAAAGTTGATGTGACACAGTGTTAAACATGCCTCTGTCCCAGAGTGTGTGTTGCAGCCGTCAAAATCAAAATTTGTTTATATTTACAAAATACAATTAAGTTGGTGAGTGAAAATATTGGATTTTTTTCTTTGTACTTTAGTCAATTCAATAAAGGTTAAAGAGAATGAACAAATAGCATATTCTTGATTTTATGGCATTTCACAAAATGTCCCAACTTTTCTGGAATTGGGGTTTTATATATAAAGAGCTCACATTTAAAAAACCTGGTACGGCCATTGTGCGGAAGATCTTTTTGAAGGCGCCTGGTAGGGTCCCAACTTCACCTTCGACTTGAGTTACTTGTTCTTCCATTGCACTGACATTGACTCCAACCATTTTGACAAAGGCCTGAGAATTAGACAGCACACT